GTCCTGCGGGTGCAACGCTGTGCAGCCAACTTGCTGCAGCGTTGGCACACCGTGGACTTGCAACGTAGGCAAGCCGCAACTTGCGGCCGACCAAGTCGTGCTAGTACGTGGTCATCCGTGCTGGGTTGGAAGTCGACCAACAGCTTTGTTAGTGCTAATATAGTCTTGGGTGCCAATGTTGTTACAATTATTGTTGTCAACTTTTCATAGTGAAACTGTTGCAATTCTTCCCCGTGGACTAGCAAGTAGTGTGAGTACTTAAAACAACTAAGGAACGCAGGGATCACTCAAGCCACGTGCCTAGCCCGTAGCCTAGCTCCCGTTGAAGTAGTTATCTCCTCGGCACTTACTGTTAGTACCAATCATATCGCTAAGTAACGCAATTACTCTAAGAACGGCTCATAAGGCTAAATAGCGCACTTACTCTTAGTAGCACTCACTTTTTCTTAGTTTCATTCATATCAGTAAGTAACGCACTTACTCTTAGTACCACTCGTATGGCTAAATTACGCACTTATTCTTAGTACCAGTCGCATTGCTAAATAATGCAATTATTCTATTCTTAGTACCACTCATGTCACTAAAAAACGCACTTACTCTTGGTACCACTCATATCGCTAAGAAACGCACTTACTCTTAGTTTCATTCATATCCGTAAATAGCGCACTTACTCTTAGCACCACTCATATGGCTAAGTAACGCATTTACTCTGAGCACCACTTATATTGCAAAGTGGCGCACTTACTCTTAGCACAACTTATATGGCTAAGTAATGCATTGACTCTTTGTGCCAGTCATATCACTAATAAATGCGCTTACTCTAAGTACCACTCATATGCCTAAATCACGCACTTACCGTTGGTACCAGTCGTATCGCTAAGTATCGCACTCTGACTATCACTCATATAGGTAAGTAACGCACTTACTCTCGGCACCACTCATATGGCTAAGTAACGCACTTACTCTTAGTGCCGGTCATATCGCAAAATAACGCACTTACTCCTAGTACCACTCATATGGCTAAGTAACGTACTTAATGTTATAACCACTCATAACGCTAAGTAACGCAGTTACTCTTATTACCATTCATATTGCAAAGTAACGCACTGACTTTAAGTATAGCGCTTACTCTTAGTACCACTCATATCGCTAAGTAACGCACTTACTCTTAGTACTACTTATTTGGCTAAGTAACGAACATATACTTGAACCACTCTTATGGCTAAGTAATGCTAGCACCACTCATTTCGCAAAGAAAAGCACTTAAGTACCACTCATATAGCTAAGTAACGCACTTTCTTTTAGTACCACGCATACGGCTAAATAACACACTTACTACTTGTATGGCTAGGTAATGTCATTACTCTTAGCATCACACATATGCAGTTTCTCCTTGTGCCACTCATATGGCTTAGTAGCACACATACTTTTAGAACCACTCATATGGCTAAGTAACGGACTTACTTTTGATATCTCATATCGTAAAGTATCGCATTTACACATGGTACCACTCATATGGCAAAGTAACGGACTTACTTTTGATATCTCGTATTGTAAAATATCGCATTTACACATGGTACCACTCATATGGCTAAATAACGCACTTACTCTTAGTACCACACATATCGCTAAGCAACGCACTTACTCTAAGTATCACACATATCGGTAAATAACACACTTACTATCAGCACTATTCATATGGCTAATTGACGCACTTACTCTTAGAACCAGTCATATTGCTAAATAACACTCTTACTCCTACTACCACACATATGGCTAAGTAATGCACTTACTTTTAGATTCACTCATATGGCTAAATAACGTACTAATTTTTAGTACTCCTTATATCGCTCAGTAACGCACTCAGTACTACTTACTCTTAGTATCATTCATATGGCCAAATAAAGCTCTTACTTTTAGTATCATTCATATTGGTAAGAAACGCACTTACACTTAGTACCACTCATATTACTAAGTAACGCACTTACTCCTGGTACCACTCATATCGCTAATTGACACATTTTTTCTTTGTCACTCAAATCGCTAAGTAACGCACCTACTCTTAGGTACCATCCGTATCACCAACTAACGCACTTTCATTTAGTACCACTCATATGACTAAGTAGCAGACATACTTTCTGAACCACAAATATGGCTAAATAACGCACTTACTCTTAGTACCACTCATATGGCTAAGTACCAGACTTCCTTTTAGTACCTCATATCGCAAAGTATCGCCCTTACACGTGGTACCACTCATATGGCAAAATAACGCACATACTCTTGGACCACTCATATCGCTAAGCAACGCACGTACTCTTAGTACTACACATATCGGTAAGTAACGCATTTACTCTCATGACCACTCATATGGCTAAGAGACTCACTTACTCTTAGTACCAGTCATATCACTAAATAACGCACCTACTCCTACTACCACTTATATGGCTTAGAATGCACATACTATTAGATTCACTCATAAGGCTAAATAACGTACCAACTTTTAGTGCTACCTTTATCGCTAAGTAGTACCACTCATATGGCTAAGTAAAGCACTTACTTTTAGTATCATTCATATTGCTAAGTGACGTACTTACACTATGTACGAATCATATCACTATGTAGAGAACTTGCACACAACACCACTCATATGGCTAAGTAACGCACTTTCTCTAAATACCATCCATATCGCCAAGTAACGCACTTTCATTTAGTACCACTCATATGGCTAAATTACACACTTTCACTTAGTGCCACTCATTTGGCTAAATATCGCATTTACTCTTAGTACCACTCATATGGCTAAGTTACGCACTTGCTCTTAGTATCATTCGTATTGCTACCTAACGCATTTACTCTTAGTACCTGTCCTATGGCTTATTAACGCACTTATCCTTAGTACCACCCATACGCACCTACTCCTTGTGCCACTTATATGGCTAAGTGACGCACGTTTTCTTAGTGGTACTCATATTGATCTGTAACGCACCTACTCATAGTACTACTCATATCGAATAAATAACGCACTTACTCTTAGTACCACTCATATGGCTGAATAACGCACTTACTCTTAGTAAACCCATATGGCTAAGTAACGCACTTACTCTTAGTACCATTCATATCACAAAATAATGTACTTAGTTTCAGCATCACCCATGACGCTAAGTAACGCACTTACTCATAGTATTACTCATATGGCTAAATAACGCATATACACATAGTACTACCCATATCGTTATTAACACACTTAATCCTAGTACCACTCATATTGCTAATTAATGTACTTAAACTGAGTTTCAGTCATATGGCTGAGGAACGCACTTACTCTTAGTATCACTCATATCGGTAAGTAACGTACTTCCTCTTAGCACCACTCATATAACTAAGTTATCAACAGGAGTGGTGTTTGGCCCCGTCCTCGCTTGGGCGGAGCCGACCTCGTGGTCGGTTGTGCGGGGGGATGCAGCCGACCTGCAGCAGTGGGCACGGAGGCCACTGCAAGGGCGTGGAGCTTGGGGGCTGAAGGGCGCCGAGCAGGTGGACGCCGACCTGGGCGTCTGCTCGGCGTCCTGGGCGTTTGGACGCTGACTTGGGCACCTGGATGGCGTCCTGGGGTAGACGCTGTCCTGGACGCCAAGTTGCCGATCCTGGGATGCCGGGCTTGGGCACGTGACGGGGCGTTGGACGCCAACCAGCCGCGCACACCTGCGAAGCAGGTGCACCATTGTCCCGCGGGTGCAACGCTTTGAGCCGCCTTGCTGCAGCGTTGGCACGCCGCAGACTTGCAACATTGGCGCGCCGCATCTCTGCAGCGCTGGAGCGGTGCAAGCATTGCTGCGCTGGAACGCGGTCGACCGTGCTGCGCTGGAGGTCGACCAGCAGCTGTGCTAGCTCTGATGTAGTCTGTGTTGCCAATGTTGTTGCAATCATTCTGACATTTGTTGCCAGTATTTTCCTAGTGGAACTCTTGCCAATTCTCCCCGTGAACTAGCAAGTAGTGTGCGCACAAGGAAACGACTAAGGAACGAACGAACGCAGAGATCCCTCTCACAGACGTGCTTTTCCCCCAGTCAAGCTCCCGTTGTACGAGTTATTTCACGCGGGCGTCCACGCCGGTGACCAGGTTTTGCTGCAGTGTGGGAGGCACGTCGAGGCAGAGAGGTGTGATACATGCCGATGAAGTCGGCGGCGTTCAGGCGCGAGGGATGCAGTCGTCGGCGGCTGCAGGGGCCTCGAAGGGCGACGTCGGAGGCCGACAAATTGGATTGGCGCCGATTTCTTCAACATACTTTTGGGTGCAAATTGACATTGCACGACATCCTGCCGTCTTTTTGTACGAGTATGCGTGTGCGAATGCATTTGAGTGTGAATGGTGTGTTCGTGTGTTTGTTTGCTTTCGCAATTTTCGCTTGAAGCATTTGCAGGTACTCGTGCAATGTGCGCTTCGGCACAACATTGTACGCGCTATGAATAGTGCAAGCAGAAAGGACGAGCTCGCAAAGGAACCCAAGATGGAAGCTTTGCAGTTCGGTTGAATTGATTGCGCAGATTCAGTTCTATCCAACTCGAAATTGTACTGTTTTGTTTGGTTAACAATTGTGTAGCAGGGCAGGCACTATAGGGGTACAATTTTGTCAGAAATAACTGAGCAGGAATGGTGTGACTAACAGGAACAACAGTACAAATATGAAACCCTAACCTGGTATACCCCCTAAGGTATCACCCACTACAGCCTAGAACAATATAAACATATAATGTTTGACACACCCCCATAGGCAAAGTGGGGAAGACCTAGGGGTCACAAGACCAGTCAAGGCAAAGCAAGACAACAACAAGCTCAGGGTGGACCTCAAGGGTTCCACACAAATTCCGAGCACAAACTAGCGGTCACAAGCCCAGTTCACATGCAAGTTTATAACAGATCATGATATACAATGATCACAACCTAGCAAGAGTAGACATGCAGGCATATATATATAATGATCACAGTATAAGCAAGGTCAAGAAGTGAGCAAGTGAGGTCCAGTAGGCACAAGGCCCAGAAGAGTACAAAAGCGCTGATGGTCAACAGGCGGAAGTGCCTTGGTGAACACATCAGCAAGGTTGGCCTCGGTGGCCACGTAACGCAGACGAAGCTGACCTCGCTGCTGCAGCTCTCGAGCAAGGAAGTACCGCAGAGCGATGTGCTTCGTTCTGTGCTCCAGTCTGTGCTCCTCACACAGGGCAATGGCTGCCTGGTTGTCGACGTACAGCACTGGAGGAGAACGAGGCCGCTCCCCAAGGTCGGTCAGCAGGTAGGTCAGCCAGCGTAGCTCCTGGGCAGCCATGGTTGTGGCGTAGATCTCAGCCTCGCAACTGGAGCTGAGAACAGAAGAAGAGCGTGTAGAGCGCCAAGAAACTGAGCCAGAGCCAAGGCTGAAGGAGTAACCCTGAGACGACCGCTGAGTGGCCTGGTCGTCTGCCCAAGAAGCGTCTGAGTGCCCTGTGAGAACAACTCGGTCTCGCCCTCCAAGCACAAGCCCCATGCCCGACGTACTGCACAAGTAGCGCAACACCCTCTTAGCGGCATCCATGTGCTCCTTCCTGTGACGGCCAGGAGCGACATAGCGTGCAAGGATGCTAAGAGGGTATGCAAGGTCAGGTCGAGTGCAGGTCATCAGGTACATGAGGCAGCCCACAAGCTCTGGGTACGGGCCACTCGACTCTACGGACTCATCCGAAGGCAGAGCTGAGAGCGAGTGACCGGTAGCCATAGGAGTGGACTGAGGCGAGGAGTACGTGAAGCGGAAGCGCTGGAGAACCTGCTGCACCATGTGCGACTGAGTCAGGGTGATGGTGCGCCGTGCTCTGTCCCGGGTGATCCGCAAGCCAAGATAGCTTGTCAGTTCACCCAGGTCTGTACACGTGTGTCTCCTCTGCAGCTCCGACTTCACGTAGGCGAGCCCTGCAGTGTCAGCAGTGGCAAAGACCAAGTCGTCGACGTACACGAGGATGTAGAACGGCGGCAGCGAAGTGTCGGTGCGCAAGAACAGCGACGGGTCAGCTGTAGAAGGTGCGAACCCAAGAGTCGCAAGTGTCGTCCTCAGTGTGTCGTGCCACTCACGTGGTGCCTGGCGGAGACCGTAGACCGGCCGCTGAAGCCTCCACTGGGTGCCAGGAGGAACCGGCCCAGTGAAGCCAGGAGGGCGGCGCAGCCAGATCTCCTCGTGCAGGCTGCCCTGCAAGAAAGCAGTGCTGAAGTCAAGTGAGTGAAGCTCGTAGTCGCGCTGAGCGGCTATGTGTAGCAGCACCCGAAGAGTGGTCATCTTCGGGGTGGGGGAGAAGGTCTGGAAGAAGTCTACTCCCTCTCGCTGACTGAAGCCTCGAGCCACGTAGCGCGCCTTGAAGACAGGCGGAGAACCCGGCGGCCGCTTCACCCTGAAAATCCACATGCCACTGACGATGTTCGCCCCAGGAGGGGGGACGTCGTCGACGTAGGTGCGTGTGGACTTCCAGGAAGCCATCTCTGCGTCCATGGCTGTCTGCCACTGAGAGGAGTAGGGACCCGCCATCGCCTCAGCGTAAGTGCGCGGGGTCGGGATGTCTGGTGCATCCGGGTCTCCCTCAGGGGCAACTAGCATGGACACGAGATGGGGCAAAGCAGCAGCAAAGCAATGGAACTCCTCCTGTCTGTCCTCAAGGACGTCCGTGCCAAGAGCACACGCACCCCCGACGGACGGAGGACAGGCAGACTCAGACTCAGACTCAGCCACTAGGCTAGCAGCGTAGTCTAGGCGACAGCAAGCAGCAAAGTCAACTAACTCAGCGACCAGAGCAGACGCAGCGGCGGACTCAAAAGAAGGGTCAGTGACAACGGTAGCAAGGAGACGCGTAACAGTGGGACTGGCAGCACGACGGGCGTCAGACTCCGGGTCAGGAAGAGTAGGTAGGGAGGACGCAGGAGGAGACGGCAGCGGGACACGCTGCGGAGCAGTGGAGGGACGCAGAGTCATGTAGTGAGTGCCAGGGACAGGAGGAGGACGCTCACGTGGGACACGACGACCAGTGCGAGCGAAACGAACAGGCAACGCAGGACGAGACTCAGGCTCACGACGCTCTGTAAGACCTCCTGTGGGACCAGCGTAAGGAGAGGGAGCAGGGAGAGGCGAGGCGGGCGGTAACTGTGACTGCGGCTGGACAGGTAGAGGACCCTCGACGGAGGGAGGAGGACCAGGAGGAGGAGCCTGACCAAGAACCTGCTGAAGGAGCGGTACGAAGTATGGTCGCGGCCGCGCAGCGTCTCCAGAAGCAGCAGGGACACCAGCGGCAGCCCCAGCGCCCAAGTCCTCAGCACCAGCAGTAGCTCGAACACCCGAGTCCTCAGTACCAGCAGTAGCTCCAACGCCCTGGTCCGCAGCACCAGCAGCAGCGTCACCGGTCGGGTCCTCAGCACCAGCAGCAGCGCCACCAGTCGGGTCCGCAGCACCAGTAGCAGCTCCAACGCCCGGGTCCTCAGCACCAGTAGCAGCTCCAACGCCCGGGTCCTCAGCTCCAGCAGCAGCTCCAACGTCCGAGTCCTCTGTACCAGCAGCAGCGCCACCAGTCGGGTCCGCAGCACCAGGAGCAGCTCCAACGTCCGGGTCCTCAGCACCTGTAGCAGCTCCAACGCCCGGGTCCGCAGCGCCAGGAGGACCACTCCGAAGACTGCAGCGCCGTGTGTACCACTCTCGAATCACCTGAATGGGGGGGAGCTCCTGGGAAGGAGGGGAAGTACCGGGACGAGCTCCAGCAGCACCTCTCCGGAGGCGGCAGTACTCGAGGTACCTCTCCTGCAGCTGCTGGGAGGAGAGGGCTCCTCCAGGCGTAGCACGCTCAGGCTCAGCACCCCCAGACGTAGCACCCCCAGACTCAGCACCTCCAGGCTCCGCACCCCCAGGCTCCGCACCCCCAGGCTCAGCACCCCCAGGCTCCGTACCCCCAGGCTCAGTACCCCCAGGCTCCGCACCTCCAGGCCCAGCACCCCCAGACTCAGCACTCCCAGGCTCAGCACCCCCAGACGCAGGACGCGAGTCAACAGCTACCTCGACAGGCTCACCCGGGTCTACCTGGGACACACCTGAGGGAGCGGCACCCTGAGGGGGGAGGGGGTCGGGTACCTCAGCACCTGGAGTGAGGAAGAGCGGCGGAGGGGGGAGGGGGGCAGTGCGGTAGGGGAAGAGGCGGTAGAAGGGGACGGACTCGTCAAAAGTGACGTCCTGAGAGGCCAGAACCCGGCGCGAGGTGACGTGGTAAAACTGCCATCCAGGCGCGTCGGGAACAAAGCCAAGGAAGACACAGGGAAGAGCGCGACGGGAGAGCTTGTCCACAGACGTGTCGCGGACAAAAGCTCGGGATCCCCACACCCGGAAACGCGACGCATCGCCAACCTCTCCCGTCCACCGCAGAGTCGGGGAAGTCTCCGGCAAGGAGACACGGGGCCAGAGGTTGAGCTGATGCGCAGCGTACCGGACCGCAAACGGCCACAGAAAGTGGGGAGCAGCCGCATGGGTCAGGGAGGTACGAGCGACCTCCATGACTAAGCCAATGCGGCGCTCAGCAACCCCATTCTGCTGTGGAGAGGCCGGAAGCGTGTACGACTGCTCAATGCCGTGCTCAGCACAGTAGGCTGCCAAGAGGTCGGAGGCAAACTCACCACCTCTGTCAGAGTGCAAGCGCAGGACAGGAAAGTCCGAGTGAAAGCGCTCGCCTAGCTGGAGACGGGCTCGGCTGATCCAGGGGATCAAAACACCAGGGACGTCACCCTTGGCGCGCAAGGGGAAGACCGTGGTGTAGCGCGAGTAGTCGTCAACAACTATCAGGAAGTACCTCTCCTGACCCTGACCACGGACGCGGGCTGGGCCCCACACGTCCATGTGGAGCGTCTGCAGGGGAGCGGTCGTCGGGGGAAAGGAGGAGGAGTGAGGAGCGGCGCGCTGCCGCCCCTCGACACAGGGAATGCAGTCAGGAGCAGGGGAGTCAGGAAGGGGAGGGAGTACCCTGGGAAGACCAGCAACAAGGTCCCGTTTGTGCATGGCCCGCAGGCGCTGCACAGACGGGTGACCAAGGCGGTGGTGCCAGAGGACGGTGTCGTTCGCCAGAGAGCGACACGAGCAGGGGGCGGACAGCTGACCTGACGCTGACGCAGACGCAGCTACCTGAGGGGACTCAGTGGTCAGTGTGTACAGGTCAGACCCCGGCTCTCGAGTGAAAGTAGCTAGGTGGCGGCCCGTCCGAGCACACGTGCAGTGAGTCACACGCTCGTAGGCAGGGGTGAACTGGTGAACACCCCCGTCCTGGAGCGCACTACCTGCCACCAAGTTCGTGGAGAACGAGGGGAGGTAGAGACCTGAGAGCGTGCCGGACGGAACCGCTGGACACGGAAGGGTGGTGGAGGAGGTCGCAAGGACCGGACCCCCAGAGGGGTCAGCAAGAGAGACAGCAACCGGCCGAGCTAGAGGCTCAAGGACAGTGCGGTCACAAAAGAAAGAGCGAGAAGCACCTGAGTCCAGTGTGAAGGTGTGCAGTGCTGCAGTCGACTCAGTACCAGGGGGCACAGACGCACAAGCACCTAGAGCAGCAGCTGCAGTAGTACCTGTGGAAGCAGACACACTAGCACCTAGAGCAGCAGCGGGGCTGGCCTGAATGCCCGGGTCGGGCGGAACACGCAAGTACTGAGCACCCTCTCCACTAATAGACATCGCATACATGGCAGTGAGAATAGCATCAAAGTCCAGTGCCCAAATATCAACACCCTTCCTGAGCAGCTCAGCCCAGCGCGGCAGCTCACCCCCACCAGGAAACTGGGTGCGCCACGCATCGTTGAGGCGGGCGAAGCAGCGCTCCGTCTGGTGCGGCCCCCCACACGTCTGGCCAGTGCGGTCACCTGTACGAATAACGTACTGGCAGGTGACGCTGCGCCGCGCATACCACTCACGGGCGGCCTGAAGGGTCGGGGCAGGCTGCTGACTCTGACCGCCCCCCGGGCCTCCACGACCACCACCCCCTCCGCCTCCGCCCCGGCCACCTCCACCCCTGCCGCTGCCACGACCACCTCCGCCTCCGCTGCCACCTCCGCCCCTGTCACCACTCCCAACGCCGCTGTCACCTCCACCACTGCCGCCACTAGCCTCTCCAGTCGCACCTCCACCGCCACCACCTCCACCCCCGCCTCCTCCGCCACCACCCCCACTCCTGCCACTCCTGCCCCTGCGTCGTCCGCCTGAAGCAGACGCAGCCCCGACCTTCTCAGCACCAAGGAGGTCGACAGCAGCAGCAGAGGCGACAGAGGGGAGGAGGGGGGAAGGGGAGCACCCCTCGAAGAAGGGGCCGCGGGGGTCGCCACGAGAGGTGCCTACAGCGACGATACTAGCCTCGGCTGCAAGCAGTTCCTTCTCGAGGAGGTCTACGGTGAGCTCAGTGGGGGAGCGAGAGAGGAACTGGTCCCTGACAGGGCGCAGAGAGTCAGGGAGGCGGGTGACAACGTGGTAGAGAGTGATCCAGAGCGGGGGGGGGTTGCTAGCGAGGAACTCGTCAGGCATGGCAGCGCGAAAGCGAGCCTCACTAGTCTTAAGGTGGGTGATGAGGTCTGCGACAGTGTGAAAGGAGGCTAGGTCGGGGAACAGGTAGGGGAGAGTGAGGCGGCCTAGCGTGGCAGAAGCGGGTGAGGAGTAGCGGGCCACTACAGCTGTGTAGAGGTCCTTAGCAGTCTTGCACTGGCCGAAGTGCTCGCGCTCATCTAGCGGCAGGGAGTTGCGAATAGCAAAGCGAGCGTGCGCGTCACGGGTCTGCCACTGTGAGCGCTCAGCTGGGGGGGCAGTAGCGAGTGGGGCGGTCGCATGGCCGAGAGCGTGGTCGTACAGTGTAATATCTTCCTTGGCAGTGAGCTGTAGGAACAGGTGCAGGTCATCTAGCCAGGTTTCGAATTTGACCGGACGGCCCTCGGCGTCGAAAGCTAGAACAGGAGGACTAGCCATAGCGACAGCGGCAGTAGTAGAAGCAGTAAAGTCACTGAAAAGGCGTGCGCAGGGTCAGTGGGGCCGGTGGGGCCTACGGACTGTAGTGGCGCACAAGCAGCAGTAGCAGGAAGTGTAGTAGTAGGATCTGCAGTGGTGCACAGGCGCAGCAGGCGGCAGCGAGAGCCGGCGCAGCAGGGGCGGGCTCAGCAGCGGTGATACGCGGGCGGCGGCGGGCGCAGCAGCGGCGGTGCGCGGGCGGCGGCGGGCTCAGCAGCGGCGGTGCGCGGGCGGCTGCGGGCTCAGCAGCGGCGGGCCGGGAGCAGGCAGCGCGCGGGCCGTGCGGGCCGTATATGAGCTGTGCGGGCAGCGTGCGGGCCGGCGGCGGTCAGCGCACGAGCCGCGCAGGCTCAGCGCGGGCTGCGCGGGCTGCTCGCGGGCTGCGTAAGCGGGTCGCGGGCGGCTCGCGGGGGTTCGCGGGCAGGTCGCGGGCTGCTCGCGGGCAGTTCGCGGGCTGTGCGCGGGCTGCGCGGGCTGGTCGCGGGCTGCGCAGGCAGTTCGCGGGCTGTGCGCGGGCGGTTCGCGGGCTGTGAGCGCGGCGCGCTGTGCGGTTCGCGGGCGGCGTGACGGGGCCGATCGGGGCGCTAAGGGGCGACGCGACGGGGGCCGTGAGAGGCCGCTAGGAAAAAAAAAAGTTCGACGGGGCCGCAGGGCCGCTAGATCGTGCTAGATCGACGGGGCCAGCGGGGCCGGAAACAAGCGAAGGTAAGCAGGTAGGTAAGTCGGTGGGCCCTAAGAACAGTCCTAGCGAAGGACCTGCTCTGATACCATGTCAGAAATAACTGAGCAGGAATGGTGTGACTAACAGGAACAACAGTACAAATATGAAACCCTAACCTGGTATACCCCCTAAGGTATCACCCACTACAGCCTAGAACAATATAAACATATAATGTTTGACAAATTTAGGTGAAGGTTGGATGTTGTTTGTCTGTATCTGCATGCTACAAGGCCAGGGCAAACCAGCAGAACCAGCATTTGGCTGGTTGGGCAAAGACAAAACAGGTTCTGTTTTTTTAACCTGAACCTGGTTGTTGTTTTCCCAGGTTGGAAAAACAGAACCAGAGGTTGTTTTCCAACCTACCACCTGCTGTTTGTCCAGCCAGGTTGGTTCTGTTGCTTGGAATTTTTTGGGATCATCCCTGGTTGTTCCCAGGTTGATTCCCAAGGTCCTTGCTAGCTATAACTATGTATTCCTTCTTGCTGGAATTTCGTGTCTACGCGGTTCGACGGCGGAATGCTACCCGAGTCAACGCTAGTGCGCTAGCACTCTAACGCTAGGCAAACGCTGTCCGAGCCAGAACTTCGTAATGGCAGAACTTTTCGCGAGGCAACTTGGCTTTTTTTAAAGCTCTTGGAGAGAGCTCCGTTTTACCAAATTCTCAGCTTAATCCGATCGACGATCTGCACGGCACGCTGCGCGACGTTCAAGGTACTCTTGCTGTTTTGACTAAGTCTCTCTTGATCCCTCTCTCTACAAATTCGGACCCGAGGATAGGGGCTGGTCTTGTACCAAGCACCCAGGGACCCTTGGAGGTGACCCCGAGGAGAGGTTTTAAGTTTGATTAAGTCATAATAGCTTGAGTTTATCAGACCCTTACACCAACACATACGTGATGGCAGGAGGGATTGCGGTGAGCTACGAATACTTCAAATTTACGCCAGACAGGATCTCGGCCACCTCTCTGCTGGTCGGTCGACCCGACATTCTCACCTGGAAGGAAGCCATTGAGCCCCAGCTGGAGATGGCCGGGCTGATCGGCTTCGCCCGCGGCACCGTGGCGACGCCGGAGGAGATCTACCCCGACTTGCGTGCGGAGTTTCGCGCTGTGCAGTTGCTGATCTTCGCGATCATCTCGCGGTGCCGCTCGCCGGGTGTGCAGCTCGCCGGGCGTGCAGCTCGCCTTGAGGTCGTGCTGGGAGTACCTTGACGCCGGCCATCGAGCGTGGCACTTCATCCGGACGACGTACCAGGTCACCGACGACCTGTACATCAGCCAGCTCGAGGAGCAGCTATCATACCTGCGGATGCGCGAACAGGAGACGGCGTCCGACTACTACAACCGGGCTCGATGGCTTCTCGCCATGGTGAGGATGGCCGGCGTGAACTATTTGACGGCGTCGTACGTCACGCATGTGATCAAGGGACTCCCAAGCAGCTACAACCTGCTGAAGCGGCTGTCGGTGGCGCCGAGCACGCGGGCGACACTCAACGAGGACTCCCTTACCTCGTACATCCTGCAGGACGAGGCGATGCAGGAGGCTAAGAAGTCCTCAGAGCTCCTGCTGCAGGCAAACTACGTCGCCCCGGCGAAGCAAGGTAGCCGACCAGGGCAGCGCGGCAAGCCTGGCAGCGGTGGTAGCGGAGGTGGGAAGCCGGCCAAGGACGCCGACAAGGGCAAGTCGGCAAAGGAAGGTGGTCGCGGAGGAGGAAGTCTGCGTAGGGAGTGCTGGATCTGCCACAGCCCCGACCACCTCTCCTTTGAGTGTCCCTACTGCAGCGAATCCGACGACGACAACGCCAAGGGAGGCCGCGGGAGGTCGGCCAGCCGTCGTCCACGTCGAGGAAACCAGCCGCGCAAGGAGAAGCAGTCGAACAAGTCGACCTCGGCGAAGGACGCCGACTCCTCTGCTAGCGGCAAGGGGCGAGGCGACGGGGAGGCGTCGTGCTTACTGGTCGGCGTTGCGGAGCCGACCGTCTCGCTGGCGTCAGAGGCGGGTGAAGATTTCCAGGCGGTGGCAGCAGCCATGCAGGCGAAACCGGCGGCTGCTCACACATTTCTTGCTGGCGCCATGCAGGTGAAGATTTCCAGGCGGTTGTCCTGCTAGACAGCGGCTGCTCACACATCTGATGGGGACGAAGGACGCCTTCATCGACATGGGTCCGAGAGGCGACATGAATCTCGTGCGCGGCTTCAATAGGGCGCTGCAGGACGTTCACGGCTGTGGCACGGTTGCGCTGCAAGGGAAGGCCAGGAAGCGGTTGCTCATCCCCGAAGTGCTGTACATCCCGGGCTGGCACGCAAACCTGCTGTCGGCTGGTCAGCTGAAGGAGAACGGTGTGAAGCCGCTGGACGACGGCGATGGGATGTTGCTCATCTCCACAACCGGCGACGTCCTCGGCCGAGCAACGTACTCTGGCCGGGTTCTCTGCACCGAACTGCGTCCCTGCTCGGCGACGACTGCGGCGGAGGAAATGGCCCTGCAGGCAATCGTCTTGGCGACGAAGGTGACGCCGGACAGGCTCCACGCGAGGCTCGCACATGTCGACATGGACACCATCCGGAGCTCGACGAAGCACGATGTAGCTACCGGGCTGGACCTCAAGTCGGCGTCCGGCGCCACTTCGCCCTGCGTCTCGTGCGTCGGCGGGAAGCTGGCGCGGCACTCCTTCCCCGACAAGGGCTCGGACGCCGAGGACGCCCTGGCCGTCGTGCACATCGACCTTTGCGGGCCGTTTCGCGTGGTCGCTAAGGATGGCAGCCTGTACTTCCTGCTGCTCAAGAACCGCAAGACCCGCTACGTGTGGGTGAAGCCGGTCGCCAGGAAGTCCGACGTGCTGCGGGAGTTTGAGCAGTGGCTGGTGTTGGTCGAGCGGAGGGCAAACAAGTCGGTGTTGCAGCTGCGCTCTGACCGGGGAGGGGAGTTCCTCGGGAAAGAGTTCACCGCCTTCGTGGACGGCAAGGGGATCGTCCACGACCTGACCTGCCCGTACACCCCGCAGCAGAATGGCATGGCGGAGCGGGAGATGCGGACGGTGAAGGAGTCGGTACGGACAATGCTGTCGCACATGGGCGTGCAGCACCATTGGGGGCACCTCGCCTCGCGACAGGCCGTCTGGGTCCGGAACTGCCTCGAGCGCTCGTCGCTGCCGCCGGAGACGATGCCGTACCTATTGCTCGCCAGGAAGAAGCCCGACTTGTCGCTGGCACGCGTGTGGGGCTGCATGGCGCAGTTCCTCGTCCCCGAGCAGCAGCGTGGTGGGAAGCTGAAGCCGAAGGCCAAGTGGGCCTCCACCTCGGCGTGTCGTAGGCAAGCAATGGCTGGGAGCACCTTGACATCGCCGACAACCGGGTGGTCACCACGTCGGATGTGGTGTTCTACGAAACCATGTCGCTGGAGGTGTGGAAGTCGACGCATGGGCTGGCGTTGGGGCGGACGCCGGCTACCTCGCCGACGGACTCCTCCACTGCAACACTCCCTCTTCTCGCCGAGGTCGGTGAGCCTTCTAAGAGGATGCCGAGCAAGTCCTCCATTCTTCCCCTACCCCTGCCATTCCCTCTCCCGTGGCCGTTTTGAATGCGCCGACGCCGACGTCGGCCTCAAGCAATGAGGGGAGCAGTGGGGCGTCGCCTGTGGCGCCGGCCGAAGGCATCGCCGGTGGCGTTCAACAAATCGGCGTGGAAGCGGAGCCGCCGAAGGCAGGGGAGCAGCAGGCCGATGATTCAACGCCGACAAAGGTGAATTCGGAAAAGGCGGCGTCTGCAGGGAAGACACCGACAGGGGAGCAGAGGACGGTGAAGCCGACAGGGGAGTTGTCGGCAACGGAGAGGTCGGCTGGGACGCCGACTTTGGTGCAGCAGGACACTGAGAACTGTGAAGCTGAAGGGGAGCCGTCGGACGCCGGGCAGTCTACTGACAGCGATGTAGTGGAGGTCAGCTCCGGGCAGCCTGAACTACGACGTTCAGGGCAAGTCCGGTGGCCGCCTGAGTGGCTAACCTACGATGTCTGCCAACCGCCAGCCGCCTCACCACGCTGTACGACAATGACAACGACGACCTGGTGTACGACAACGCCAAGGACGACGAGGAGTTTCCGGAGCTCGACCCCGACATGCACGCCGACCCCGAGCACCGCTGGGACATCGCGACGATGACGGTGAAGGAGGCGTTGGCGAGCTGGAAGGGCAAGGCGGTGAAGACCGCCATGGACGAAGAGATCCGCAGTCTGATTGGCAACG